TGACCCCGACAGTCTTCTTCTTCTACCTGTTGCCTCAAGTCATTCTGGATGCAGGCTACCACATGCCAAACAAGCTCTTCTTCACCAACCTGGGTGGAATCTTGGTCCATGCTGTCATTGGGACCTGCTGGAATGCTGCCAGCTTGGGGCTGTCGCTGTGGGGGTGCCAAATGGGAGGAGCAATGGGTAAGAGGGGCTTTGTAATTTCTTTGTGAATGCACCAGAGAGAGAGATCTAATATGATTACTGTACATCACAAAAGGTTGATTCTGTTCATCTGGAAATTCAGTGGGAGAAACATTTCGACACTCGTCCAAGTGACTTCTTCAGTCTCAGCTGACTACAGGTTTCCCTAACCCAAACAGTATATTTGCACAATGACTGAAACAATGATATTTGATTCAGAGATGGTCTTTCCCTTTCCACATAAATGGCCTCCTTGACTTCTAGCTCAAACCAACGCTCCTCCCTGTCCAGAATGTGTAAATCCTCATCATTGAAAGAGTGTCCATTTGCCTGTAGGTGGAAATAAACTTCCTTCTGTGTTGTGCCATCCGCTTCACAAGAGGTTGTTTGGTTTCCTCAGTGTATAAATCATGGCAATCCTCCTGGCACATAGCGCACTCTACATTACTCTGTTTGTGTCTGGGGATCCGATCATTGGGGTGGACCAAATTTTGGCACAGTGTGTTTTGGGGTTTAAAGCCACTGAGGTGTTGTGTTTAGAAAAAATGTGTCTGCGAATCAAGGAGGGGGCTGTGCCTTACAATGCTGTGATTGCAGCCATTCCCCAACTTTCTGTGAATGGTACTCATAGGCATTGATCCATGGTCTTTGATCAATGGTCATGACAATTTGCATATTAATGATCAAGGACTTGACCTCCCAGCCCATTGTTCATTCAGTTGGCTAGTTTCAGTCATTATTCAAATGTACTGTTTATAAGATTGGGGGTGTACAGATGTACAGAATCAACCTTTTGGGATTTACTTACCTGGATGATTGAGCATCACGGCATTTCCTGTACAGGTGACCTGGACATCGGTCTGCTGCAGTACCTTCTTTTCGGCAGTCTGATGGCTGCTGTGGACCCCGTGGCCGTCATCGCTGTGTTTGAGCAGGTGCACGTTAACGACGTCCTCTTCATCATGGTGTTTGGAGAGTCGCTGCTCAACGACGGTGTAACTGTGGTTCGTATGCATCATTGTTGTCTTTAGCATTACTTAAGTAACATAACCTGTGAGTTTGGTGAGACATCTGTCATAGGCATGTCCACTTTGAAGACATGAAGTGTAAAGAAAGTAAACATTCCAGCACTTCAGTTTAAGTGGTTTTACTCTAGCTGATGTCTTGCCATCTTATCTGAGCTTCT